CGGGCTCCGGCCCCGCCAGCTCCACCTGCGCCTGCCCCCGCCGCCCGAGGCTGCAGTGCGCGGCGCCCGCGACCTCCTGCAGCGGGGCGCACTGAAGCGGAAAATCCCGGGCGCCCGACGGACACCCAGTTTGCTCGCCGTCCCTGCAAACTTTGGTGCCTCTAAAGTCGGAAGAAGAAAATTTCCTAGGAGTGGAGATTTAAGTGTGTGTGTCAAAGATGCACAGTCCCCCCGCCCCCCATTATCCCTCACCCGCGCGTACTTGGTTTCTGTGTTTCGTCATTTCTAGCTCGGGGCTCAGACCCGGTGTGCGCACTATCCGTCGCCTGCCGTCGTGGCTGGATGGCCCGAGAAGCACTGAGTGGCGACCTCAGTGATATTCTCAGGGGAGCTGCACATAATCGCCCGCGCCCTAAACTTCACGGTGGGAGTTCAGCGAACGCGGTCCTGTTCACAACCCTTAGTTCTGATCCACATCCTCTCCCCTGTCTCCATTTATTTTTTCCGGGGTGTTAGGACGTTGGGCGCGACACTCCATCCAATCTCCTGAGCTCCTACAGTGGAGACCTAAGTGGGCGGAGGGCTGGTTGCTTCATCCTAAAATTCCACTTCAGGCTTGGCGGTTCTTTTCACCTGCGCTCCAAAGCGCTCGCGGGACTTGCCGGGAAAATGTGTTAAGCAACTGCGCCATCTAGCTTACCCTCTTCCCGGTCTCCAGCTTACCCAGGGAAAGTAAGGACAAAACGGGCTGTGGGAGAAGCTACAGGCCTGAGAAGTATTTAAAAATGGGGCTGCTGCCCTTAGTTTTTCAGTGTCCTGTTTATGGTTCCAGCTGCACTCACAAGCATTTGCCACGCTCCGGGGAGGAAACTCAGTGATCTGGGCTGTCCCCTTGTTGTAGCACATGATCACTTTAAAGTGGTAGATTTTTGAGGAAAGTTACCTGTCATTTTAGAAGTTATTTTTGAATTTAAAAAATTGTGTGTCACAATAAACGACTTTTGTGCCCGCCTTCCAGCCGTCGGCCTAATAATATCCACAGAATATTAGCACACTTATCAAGCTATTCTGACCAAAAGGGCTTTGGGATTTGTCTTGGAGTTTTAAGCATGGCTCATACACTAGCAGATTCAGTATCATTCTACTTTGGTAAAACACAAATTCCTGGGCCCCCCTTCAGACATACTGATTCAGAAACGGGGTATGTGTGAAGAAATTTATGTTTTAACAAGTAATACACCACGCAGTTTGAACTGCTGCCCTGAGTGTGTTCAAACGAGTGGTTAAGCTAGGTCATTCAGGCTAGGCTGGTGCTCTATAAAGCCAGAAGTGCTGCTGCTATTTGTCACCCCAAAGTACCGGTGCCGTACAATTTTCATATTAACACACTACAACCAAACTCTTCACATGTTTATGCAGAGTAGAATCTATGTTCTGTGCAGTTCACTTAGAATGCCAAATGGAAATCTAAGAGAACTCTGGTAAAAAATAAAGAAAAACTTATGGTTTCTTGATGCCTTTTAGACAGGAAGCATCAGGATTTGCTTCGTTTTTTAGGTGTATTCGTGTTTTTATTGGGATATAAATTGTTTCAGACTAATCACTCAGGGAAGACAGAAAGCTAATTTACTTCAGTGGGTATGCCATTATAGTTCCAAATTTGTCAAATAGTTCTAAAAGAAATGAAAACTGCAAAAATTTATGGTATTGGCTTACGTAACCACAAAAACAACAGCAAAAATTCCACACCATTTTGATGTTGTAGTAAGTGGCCCTTGGTCTGTAATCCATCTGATCTGTAATCCATCTGATAAAGAACTGCCTGCATCATTCATCCCCAAATACCATTCCAACCAGGTCATTCTCTTTCTGAAAAATCTCTTTTCACTACTCCCTGTGACTACTTAAGAAATTCTAAAACTCCTGTGTAGCATCTGAAGTCATCCAAAATATACATCAACTCTCCATTTCTGCCCACGCAGCTTCCTTCTTCTGAAACGCCTTTCTGATATTGGCAGTGAAGTCCTACTTACCTGTCAGGCCTCAGTTGCCTCTCCTTGTTCATCCTTTTCAATTCCCAGGTGGAGTTAATTGTGCCTCTACTGTGTATTGTTAGTGCCCGGGTTTCGCTTTTATTAACAACTTTCTAATCACAGACTTGTACCTGATTTAGTTGCAGCTCTTCTTGATTGTAGCATCCTGGCCAGGAATCATGTAGAGCTAGTTTTCAATCTAGGGCATAATACATTGGAGATAGGAAGTACGCAGTATTTGTGGTACTATTGATTCTAGGAGGGAAAGATTTAAATAGCAAACTCTGAGTAGCTTCATGAAAGAGTGCTTGCATCACATATGCAGAGCCCTGGGTTTGATCCCTGCACCACAAAAGCAAAAACCTTTAACCTGAAAGATATAGATTGGAATCCAAGAAGGAATTTCCTGGCATAGGTAATGGAATAACTGTGTGGGTGTGTGTTTGTGTGTGGTGGAGAACTCTAAACAAAGGTTTTACCCATATATAGATGACAGTAAACCTGGCCAATTTTTTTGAACCTTTTGATTTTAAGTTTCCTTGAGAATGACTGTTTCTTGGTAACTAGGTACTGTATAAAGTTTTATCTGCTTACTGATTACTTCAGGTCTTCAATACTACCGTGACTGGAAAAAAATCAGATGTGTGTACATGGGGTTTCTCAGACCCAACGGTCTAAAAACATGAACCGGAGAAAGTCTTCCTTGGTCCTGGCCTCTCACCTGTAGGGAGTTTACAGGTGGAACCTCTTGGTCATGATCTTTCCCGTTTCCCTCTCCAGCCCCAGAGAGTAGCCCATGACCCTTGAACATAGAGAGCTTGTTTCTTGTTTTTCCGTTATACCTGAAACCCTAGAAGGCATAAGATATTTTGTTTACCTTTGTGTTCCTGAGAAAATGCTATTGTCAAAGGGAAAGAAATTGCTCATTAAGAAAGCACAACTGGGATGAGGGAAAGGAGAAAAGAAAGAAAGAAGGAAAAACATGTATTTATACACAAGATAGCTAAGATAATTGTACTACTAATTTCTATTGGCTTATTGAAGGGAACAGTTAATGTGTAATTGCTTGATCAATCTTGCATACCTATATTTGGTAATCTGAGCAACTACTTTGAAGATAACAATAAGTAATACAGCAACCATTGTTGATTTCCTGTCATCTTGTTTTGAAATTCTGTATTATTTTTATAGTTTTTGTGTTGTTTTTTGTTGTCTTTGTTCTTTTCTCTTTAAAATAAAAAAATGCATGAGAAGATAGTTACTGAGTGAGCTCATTAATTATTTCTGTATATGTGAAAATCCTGAGAGTTGGTAGCAACTTCCAGTGATCATCAAGAAACCAGGCTGATCTCTCATCTGCAAGTTGGAAAACAGCTTATAGGTCATTGTCCATGAGTGCCTCCTGGGTACTGAATATAGCCATTCATAATACATTGAATTCTTGTTCAGCTCTTTTCCCTGGCCCTTTGTGTCTAATTTTCTTCATCCGTGAAAATGGAATAATAACAGTACCCATCTCCAACGGCCATTCTGAAAACTGTACAGCTTAGCACATGCAAAACTCTGAGAACGGTGCCTAGTGCTCTTATAAGTATTCAGTGAGCATGGAAAATTATCACTGCTACTCAAGGTTTCTACTTCTGCCAAAGATGGGGAGAAAAACCAATAGCACACAAATCTAAGTGGTTTATCTTTTATTCATACAAACAATACATACACAAGACTATATTGTTTGAAGACTGAAATAATTTTCTAGCGTAACAACTCTGTAACAAAATTTAACTAAATGTAACATTTATGAAAATATAAATCTCTGATTGGGTAATTCTTCCCAACAATACAAAGTTTACATAAAAACATTCAATGTGAGCTATCAGTTGCAAACAAGTTAGGAAAAATCATTCAAGTCACTTGTTATACTCTATTGGCTTTTACATAGAACATTCACACACTACATTTAATCCACCTAGGAATATAGTTCTTAGAAATGTATGGCATGGAGGTCCAACTGATAATACAAGAGTAAGAAAGTGTTGCCCAAAGAGCTAAACAGCATTGACTCATCCAGTCCACTCCGGGTGATTGGTACATAGGTCTGAGCACTTTCTGGGCAACCATCTCCCTGGTTGCTAGCTAAACCAGGGGAACATACTGAGAAAAATCTTTCACTATGTAGTGGGGTATTTATGTCTTAATCACATCTTTGAATACTTATATAGTAAACTTCTTTCTAAAATGAAGTACAATTGATTTGGATTCTCTATATATCACTTTTTTTCCCCATTAGCATTAACAATCAAAATGTCACTATATGTTTTTCTCACATTATTCTCAAATATCCCCAACAGGGCAAGAGCAGAACCTATCACTACCTTTATTTTGTAGTCCACAAAAATAATACACTGGTAAGGTTAAAGATCTGGCTAGGGACCTATGAGTTCATGGCAGAATCGCACAAAAATGTTCCTTGTATTATTCTTATTAAAGTGACTGCCACTTTCAAAGAAAACCAAAGCAAACCACAACTACCAGCCCCTATGAAAAGTTATCCAAAGACATGCCATGTGGAAAATACTACAGGACAAAAATCACTTTCACTTTCTGTGTAACATTTTCTTTTAAATAGATGTAGTAGGTTTTAAAAAACGTCTGATATCATTTCATAGCTTCAGCTCTGAGATAGATAAGACTATAAAAGTCTTAGAAGAGTCCTCAGCCTGGAAGTATAACAGATAAAGAAGCATACATACAGTTTATAGAAGTAAGAAAGTGATTACAAACAGGGACGATAAAGAACCTTTGGACACCCTTAAGATTTATGGAATATTTTAGCACAAAGACAGGCATATTCAGTTTGTCCCAGAGTATTTGGTTATCTATCTGCGTTTTACACAGGAAAGAAGAGGAATGAGAGTAAGGCAAATGTCATCAGTATTTCTGAGATGGCATGTTAAGAAAGCTTGCTTTCTATTAAGAGATACTGCAGGGATTTAGGAAATAATTTATGCTCCCATACAACTGTCTCAATAGTACAGATTTTTTTTATTAGTACAATAGAAATGACATGTTTTGATCAAATTTGTAATGCCCATTCTGTACTTCTTCTTTACACTCAGCACAAATATGCATCTCAAAAAAGATGTGAAAAAATTGTGGCTTCTTATTAAATGTGTTCTTTTGCAGCCCCAGAAATAAACAGTTTAAAAATCATATATTCCACTATACAGAAACCCTTGCATGCATTTGTTGCAACTGTATTTTAAAGAAGACTGACTCTCTGTGTTCAGTAGCCCTAGGATAGCGGTAGTTAGTTCTCATCTCAGTCCAGTTCATGGTCTCACATTTCATGTTGTGTCTCTTGGGAACCTGGGAATATATCTGGGCATTTTTGTTACATGATTTTGCACCGGTAGACCCTTCCTCTGCAGACTAGGTTTACACAGTTGTCAGGATCAGAAAATGTAAAGAGAGATTAAGGCTGTGTTTTACTTATCACACAATCATTCGGAGTCCAACAGCTCTACTGTCCCCACGATTTCAACTGTTTTTTGTAGAACTAATGCCAGTCCGAACAGTCTACATGTAACTGTAGCCTCTCTCTTCTGAACCAAGAAAATCAACTACACTGCTTCTTATCACACAGCTAATTTTAAAAACTTTTATCCTCTCTCTTGAAGGTGAAATAGCCACTTATGTACCACCCCTAGAAATTCTCTAACAAAAAGTTGGCACCCAAAACTCATTCCACATTTCTCTGTGTTTCATGAACATGTTAACAAAACACTGCAATTCCAGCCTCTCTGCTGTCTTCTAAACAAATGAGTACTTTATCGTTTGTGATCCAGAAGACGCACTTTGTTTTTTCCCTATGTATGTGGATCATATATTTCCATGGAGCAGGATTAACATTTGGTCAGTTATCGGGGGTGTAACTGTGGCCCCTGGGTTCTAGGGCAGAGCACACCCGATCATAACAAGAGTTGTGTTTCTTCGAGGGTGTTGCTTCATTGGACTCTGAAGAGTCGCTCACTGTGATAGGGCTGTCTCTTGCAAAGACCTCAGTGGACTCTCTCCATAAGCAATCCACAGACATTTTAAAACAGTAACTGTTAGACTTTGGCCTGGATGTCTGGGTTGCGTTGCTGAAAATCTGCCTGCTGTTTGAAGTGGCGATCTTGATTTTCAGCGCGGCATCTACGCGGTCCACTACCGTGTATATCCCTATACTCCCATCGTCAAATCCCACAATGATGTTCAAGTGCCTCTGAGAAAGCGCAAGGAAAGTTGGTGTTTTGTACAGGGAACAAGCACCGATATTTTTGCCATCTGCCAGCCTCATTACAATTAAGCTGGATATCGCACCATTTTCATCCTCCTCCTCCCCATTTCGGAAACAAATGTATACCAGGTAGCGACCATCACGAGACAGCCTCTGCCGCCAGATGACTCCAGAGGCGTGAACCACCCTTAATTTACCACTGTGTAAATCTAGCACATTGATATTTTCATCTCCCCTGGATATAATGCCTAGCTTTCCATTGGGAGAAATTTCAAAATCCTCTAGATTTTTCAAGAAGTTGTTTGGAAGTTGCACGCATCGACAGATCACCTCATCCGTCAGGCTCCAGACGTTTACAGTCTCGGCTGAGGTGATAAACACGATGATGTCGGGACAGTCAGGGATCAATTTAAAATTCACAATGGTAGTACCGTCTTCGCAGCAGAATTTCTTGGTGATACTTCCTGTCCAAAGACTGACTGCCAACACTTTGCTTTTAGTCATTCCCACCACGAAGGTGTTCGCCGAGGTAATGAAGGCATTCTGCAGAGTGGTTAGGATGTTGCAGACCCTGTGGCCTGTGGCTAGTCTCCAAACCCTGGAGGCGTTTTCCTCACAGAGGGAAACCACAAACTGGTCATTGTGTGTAATCAGCAGCTGAGAGATTCTCTGCCCGTTGATTCGGAAGAGGTTTTCCCCACTGTTGGTGTGCCAGACATACTGGCTGCTTTTGTCGTCTGATGTCACCATTATGTCTCCTGCAGATGTTAACACACAGTGCTCAACTATTCCTTCATGCTTAAATACTGCTTCAATGAACCCACTGCTGAAGTTCCACTTATGAACACAATCAGAGCCATCAAGTGAGTAAATTATTTCCCCTCTGGCAGGCAACACCAGGCTTTGGATGGGTTTCCCAGTCTTATCTATGTTGGACATAGCTGTGATTATATCTATATCCCAAATAGAAAGAACACCACTAGTTGATAAAGACAGTAACATATTGTGGTGACTGGATTTCACCAACTTAACTATGGTACCTGAGATTTCCTGTAGGCTTGCCATGCATTGCCCTGTATCCCGTCTCCAGAAAAACACGGCTGGGGTGTTCTCCATGGTAGCAATAATGCAGTCTCCATTCTTGGACAGCACAGCAGATACAAAGCGTTCGTTGTGCTTGGCTCTGAACTTTTCAGCCACCTTCCACATTCCAGTATCTAAGAGTTCAATGCTGAGAGCCTTACAAATCAGAATTGCACTTTGGTCCTCTGAAAGTTCAATGGTGACCACCTCACTGTCTTCTCTTCTGCAGTCAAAGTCATCAGTCAGCTGGGGGTTGGAAATGTCTTCAGTATTCCAAACAGAAAGACTTCCCTCACTATCTACCATTACCATCTCTTGAGCTGTGTCCAAAATAAGAAGAAACTTCACAAACCCACCTGAAAACTCAGATGTCACAGTACATAGCTTTTCTCCACTCCCTAAATGAAATATGGTGGTAGTGTTTAGGTACTGTCCACAGAAAGCATGCACCCCATCCAGCGAGCACTGGACACAGGTCACTTCATACCAGCAGTGGAACTGGTAAAGAGGCCATCCATAGAGCAGATCAATGACAGTGACATCTTTGCTGGCCTCGAGCCAGGCAAGGGCATGGTGGACAGATAGTGTAAATCCATTGATGTAGGTAGAGCTGCTTCCATGTTTGGTTCCTTTGATTTCTACCTCAGAAAGGAGACAAGAATTGACATTGTCATAAATCAACAAGGTGTTATTTGTTGTAGCAACCACAAGGTACTTTTCATCACTTGTGAGCTTCATGCCTAGGATGACAGACTGGGCTGTAGTAATTTGCCTGAGGAGTTGGCGAGTTTCTACATCCCATGTGCTGATGGAACCATTTTCTAGAGCTGTGAGGACAGTGCTAGGGTTGCAGGTGGGCAGAATCTCTGTGACATGTAGGTGACTGGATGACAAGGGAAGACGCTCGGGACTGTATGTCACATCCATGGATGAATGCAGGGGCACAATGGAGCAATACTTGGGCCCATCTTTGTCGCATTCTAAAAGAAGGTGTCTCAGTTTGGGCAGGGAACTTACAACAGGCAGCAGTCTTTGCTGCAGCTCTGCTGACAGGGAGCCGGGAGATGCAATGACCTTGTTTTTGATGCCGCGGAGGGTGCTGGCCAGGAATTTTAGCTCCTTCTCTTGTGAATAATTATAAGCCAGCTCGATGTCTGAAAGCACTTTGTCAAACTGGCCAATTTTGATCATGGTATACAGCCAGCTGAAGTTCATGATGATGCCGTAAAGCAGGTCATCGGTTTTTCCACACCTTGTCAGGTGGTGCAAAAGCTCAGACATTTTCCGGTGATTGACGAAAAAGATGTCAGGTTCCAGTGGATTACACTGAAAAACCCAGGGCTGGTCTGGGGCCTGCCTGTCAAAGGAGGCCTGTTCCATGAAGTGTTTTTCTTCCTCAAGTAGGCTTCTATTTTCCAAGTCAAGGCAACCATTCAAGTAGGGGTCTTCAAGGCAGAAAGCTTTCCTCCGGCCCCCTGACCAGACCCCCAGGAAATAATCCGCCAGGATGGTGTGCATTTCACGCAGGTCACTGTTCTGCTGCAGGTACAGCTTCTGGGCTATAAGCTGCAAATGTCTGTTGGCCCAGACCAGGAGTGTGACGTTCTTCACGTGCCTTTCTATTAAGTACCCCGTGAGACCCTCCTTCAGCCTTGCGATGTACAGATAAGGTACTCTCAGGGGATTGCTGGGCCTGCTGTTTTCATTGAGCTCGTTCATGACGCTGTTGTCTAGGGCTAACACGTCCTCCAGTTCCATTTCACTCAAACCCATTTTGGCCATGGTAATGTAGCCAAGAGCCCTAGAGACTAGTTTCTGACCACACTTCTTCTCCAGGGACCAGAATAAATGCTCTATACTTTCATGAACAGTGACACAGAGAGAGGATTCATCAACGTCTTTGTGAGATCGCCAGTGTCTCACCTCCCTGAAGGTCAGGTTCACAAACATTGGCAGCGTGCACTTGGAGAATGCGTTGTTCACATAAATCTGCTGGCCTGATGTGACCTTCCTTTTGACCCGCAGCAGCTGGTGTTTGAGGACCTGGCTGCACATCTTCCTGTCCCGGGGAATCAGCTCGATGTAGTTGTCTTCCTCATGGATAAGGCACCTTAGTTTCTGTAGGATCCCGTGCTTGCTGGGCAGTGTGGAGAGGACTATCCGCACAAAGTGGGGAAGGTGAGCGGGGAGCCACCACAGCTTCCTGGCATCATCATTCTCTGACAGCTGCTCTAGGGCATCGAATATTATTACCAGAGGTCTCTGCAGTGAAGACTCATTCAAAAGGTTTATAAATAAATCACGGAGGTCATGGATCTTCTTAGGGTAGCTTTGAACCAGACACCGGTAGTTAACTGCCAACTGTTCACAAACACTTAGGAGGAGAGTTCTAAGGTCAGTACTCATGTCCGTTGTTCCGAGAAATCTCACAACTATTACTGGGTCAGATTCTGGTCCCGTGTCATCATGCAGCCAGCCATAAGCCTAAAAACATACAAGTGGAGTTTAGAACGGGGCTGAAATTCATGTGGTCGCAATCCAACATTCTCTCTCTTTACAGTGTTGTTCACAGACCTCTGGTAACATGAACTATGCAGACAGCAGCCTAGAACTGAGAAACAGACCCTCTGGGAAGGCCAGAGAGGTGTCACAAGGCTCGTGCACCAAAAACTACGGGTGACTCCTCAGGTAGTAAAATAGTAATGAGTATTATTTCAATGTAAGGAAATATTTAGCTCATAGTCTAAAAACTGCAAAGTTGTCCATGAAAGTGTAAATCTGAGTAGCTAATGTGTTCAGCTTTTCATCCATTTCTTGGCCCAGTCGTTGGCACATAGTAGTGGCACTTAGTGTTTAATGACTGGATTAAGTAATGATTTACAAGTTGTAATGAGTTAAATATTTTCATTAATCAAGAGCACATATCATATATAGCTGGTCAATTTTCCAGTTAATTAGAATGTTAATAAAATATTCAGTATTAAAATTATAGCTAATATCATTTTTATAATTCAGAGACATTTTTGTGGTGCTGTAGGGTCATGATTATGATTATTATTTTTCTTATAAAATCTTCACAATGCTGGTGAAGACAGTTTTGTTAGATGATGTGATTTTAACAATGGTTTGCTATATAAGCATGAAGTCCTCTGTCCTTACTGTCTCTCTGAAGGTCAGATGTGATTACAGTGCTGTTTATTTAAAGGGGAAACTGAGGACCAGGCTGGCTAAATGACATATTCTTTGTTTAATGGTCATCATGAGATGAAGGTGGAGTAGAAATCATATCTGGTTTTTATTCTAATTCTAATAATTTCTTTTCTTTTTTACACTGTGGTGTTGGAGATAAAATATATAATATATAAAGTACATACTAAATTTAGTATTTTTTTCTGTCTGAAAGGTCACAGATGAGAAGGTGTGTGATCAAATGAGTATTTTTTAAAGAGACAAAATCTTTTAGTAATCCCATGAATTTACGAAGGATACTCTTTAGAAAAGGAAGTATTTTTACACATTAGGATGTAAATTTATGAAACTGTGCTCCTCAAGAGAGAGTTCAGGTTAAGAAATAAAGGAGGAGATTAAGGCATGCCAATTTAACAATGACCTATTAAGAAAAATAAGCATTTTGTTGGTGTTTAGCTCCAACTTTGGAAGGTGGTTTCAAGAAAGATAATCTTGTCATGTCACCAGTGTTCACTGGTAGCAAATCAGAAGCAAAAGTTTGTTCCTACACTGACTGATCACGGTGATTACATGCACCCTCTTCCCTCCTGCCCACCACAGGTTACTGCATACGTCTGTGGAGAATGGCCCTACAACTGGTGTAAATAGAAAATGCTGGGTAACACAAGAGACCAAGACAATATGTTTGTCTGTCCTTACAAGAGACAACACGTCATAGGAGAATGGAAGTTGTTCTTGATGGGAGGCCAGTGATTCTCCTTAGAAGATAGGCAAGCAGAATATAGGAGGGGACCTAGAATCAGGTGAGGTTCTTCAAACAACCAGAACTGGACTGTGGATAGAGGCAGGTAATTGGACAAAGTATGTAGAGGATGGGGACCTCAGAAAGGTATTTCCCAAGTTGATGGACATTGCACTGTTAGTGCTCTGTGTCCCGCAGGCACTGTTTTCTGCATAGGCAAATCTGTACATCCCATATAATCCCTGACCTCTAGGGCATGCTAGAGCCCTAGAGGAAATGCATCACATGAACATTCACTTGGTCAAATTAACACTATTTTCTCCTGCTGGCCAGCCCACCAGGAGAAAAGCCCTGGAGTGAGAATGAAATGGAATATGTGAATATTAACTTATTCAAATTCAGTTCTCACTTATCTCTTATGGTGTCACCATCATGCTTACTTGGAATAATCCTGCAGTTCAAAGATACACAAACCAGTGCGTAGTAGCACACTCACATAAAGACACAATTTATTCTGATGTAATGGAATTCCTGCGTACAAGTTTACTGCCCCATCTTGTGCTCAGTTGAAGATGGGGGCCATATTTTATAACACAAAGATGAACACCAACTGGACCTGACATACTAAGGCATGGTAAATTAGCTCTTAAGGATTTCTCAAAGACAAATGTGGTATACCTGGTATTTGCCTATGAGTTTACTTTGGAACCTAATCCCCACATAAGGCATGATGGAGCAGGTCCTATTTTTGTCTTCAAGACGACCAGTTTGAGATTGTGTAGGACATGACAGAGAATGTGAAGTTTAAGAAAGCTCTGTTCTTAAGAAAGTAACCATAGAAGAATAATGTGGAGATTCTGAATTAGTGAATTAATGGTACAATTAATGCTAGAATTAATTCTGAGTTAATGCTAGAATAATAGAAACCAGCATACCAAGTATTATCAGGAAGTTAAAAATGGAGCCAGTTTAGCCCAGCATAGGTAGAGGAAGAAAAATAATAGATATTACCTTCCAAAGTAAGTTCCAGACCTTCGTGCAGGGCTGGAAAGGGAAGTTCTGAAGACCAGTTTAATGGAGATTGAGGATGAGAATATCATTCTATTTCTCACTACTTCGTCTCAAAAGAGGAGGTCAGAATGATGCTCATTCTTCACTTCTAGCCCAGGGGAAGGGGCTTCCATGGGCTCCTTACAGGGTGTTCCCTAAAGCCTGAGCGGCAAAGACATCTGGTGTCTGATGACATCTGAGAAACATGAAGGTCAGGTGGCAGGCTGGCTGGTCTGCCACTTGTGCACTTGGCAATGCATGGCCTGGCCTGTAGGTTGGTCAGGGTGGTTCTGATGTATCTAATCTGGGCCATCAGCAAGAGAGAGATGTTTGCTTGCTCTGCCTTTTCCACGCCCTGTCTAAGGAGCGTGCTGGGCTGTGAGAGGATTTTGGCAGAAAGACATTGGAACTGCATTGCTTGACGTCTAGGAGGTGGCAAAGTAAAAGAGTTAGAAAAAAAGATGCACTGTCTTGTAGTGAGAGGTGTTCTGCAGGGCTCAGGTGGGATTTTCAGGAGAGAAAGAACTTTTGGAAAACCATGAAAATGCCTCAGAAGAGATGAGAGGTAGCTTTAAACACCACATAAGGACAAGGAATTCAGCGCTAAGCTCACAAAAACACTGGTTATGTAGGAACCTTCTGATTACCTTCCTTTCCCTGTATTGCCTACTCTAAAAACTGATAGGGTCATCAGTGTGGCTGAGGTCAGGAGAGGAGGGAAGGAAGAGCGACATGGACAAAAAAAGAAGCTGGCCATGTCCCCACTGCCACTATTGATGCCTGGCTTATGCCAGTCCTCAGCTGGGGGCAGAAATGCAGGCTGAAGTTTTAATTATCACCTTAGAGTGATCTAGTGACTAGAAGCAGAGAGAGGGCTAGATTCCTTGAAGTGGATGAAAAGAGGTCTTGGGATCTGTCCTAGTTTTCATCCAAATGGGGTGGAGGAACTAACCACACAAGAGTTTGATCAGTGAGAAAAAGAAATTAGGTGGATTTGTAGCTGCACCCCATGAGTCTTGTTCTCCCAACATAGCCAACAAAAAGAAACACAGAAGTAGTCATTCCAAAAGACTAATATACCAACAAAAAGAAACACAGAAGTAGTCATTCCAAAAGACTAATTATGATTCAGGTAGTACACAGGAAATGGAAATGGCTGCATCAATTTATTCTTTTCTCCTAAGAAAGAGTTTTTTGCAAATATTCGTAAATGAGAAAGAACAGACTTTTACCTTCTTTGCTACTTCAGCTAGCAGAAGGGTCTTTCCAGTGCATGGTCCACCATATATGATAAGAGGGTTGATGTGCCCTGTCTTGCTGGGAAGGATGTATTTATGCACAATGTTCAGAGCCTCACACTTGTACTCATAGAAGGAAGCATATGTCTTACAAAGTGATGAATGCTGAAGGATCTCATCGTAGAGCGTATCAGTTTCCGTATCAAAATTTTGTTGTACTGTTGCTTGAATTATATCAATCATGTCCTCATAAAATTGCTTACCAAGTCCTTCTATGTAATGATTTTCTATTTCTTGGGAATAGCCCAGTTTCATGTCACAATGAGTAACAGATGTGTACACTCTTAAGTTAGATGATGCCACTATGGTAGGAATAAATTCATCCCTGAGTTTGATCAGCTTCTCTTGAGCTTCTGGGTCACGAATGATCCTTGGTTCTGTTCCAGTTATATCCATGTATTTCCCCATCTCTGGGATTTTCACAAAGCGCTCAATATTAGCAATTTTCCTAATGTAGCAAACACACTTCTTTAGGAATGCTGGAGTCTGCTTGCCTAGAGCAAAGTCAAACTCGTCCTCAATAGCTGGAAAAAAAATAAGAGACAGTTTATTGCCATGAACAAAGGAGCAATGTGTTCACATTCCCAATACACAGATCTTAGTTATTGGTGGTAGGCTGTTTCACCTATGAACTGTAGTGGAGTACTCTCTTTTCTTTTATTCTCCCAGTAATGGGAATTGACCCAAGGGCCTTGTCCATGCCAGGCAAATGCCATACCACTGAGCTACATCTTGAGCCCTTAGCATTATTTCTGAATTTTTAAACTCCTTATTTGTCTTTTCCTGAACAGCCTGGAATCCAGAAGAATAGATTTGTAGCAAAATTAGTTAATTTCCTCCTTGATGGAAGGAAGAGGTCAAACATCAGCATAAGAAAGAAAGCATACCAACTTACAGTTGATATTTTTAAGTTGCTCGCTAGTGTCCCTCTCCTACTTCAGTTGTTCTAACAGTGCAAAAAGGGCAGGGACCAATTGGGACCAGGAAGGAAACAGGAGGAGGCTGAATGACAGCAGCCAGTTTGCTAATTCTGTGTTATTTATAATCTGGCTTCTCCATTTTGTTTGAAGTATACTGTACCTGGGACCATTTATGTTCAAATATAAACATAAAAGCATGCTTTAAAACAAAATATAAACTGATTGGGGTGGTACATGCTTATATTCCCAGCATCCAGAAGGCTGAGGCAGGAAGACTGTGAGTTCAGGGCCAGCCTGGGCTACCTAGTGAGACTGTCTCAACAACAACAATTACATCACATTCTGAATACTGAGTGAAATAAAATTTCCTTTGTAATTGTTAAATTCCTAACATCCATCAGAAAAAGCACAGGAAAATAACCTAGCATAGAATGTTATTTCCTCTAAATTAAGCCATATGTGGCTTACAACAATATGCTTACACACAAGTACATTTACATTATAAATCATTTGAAGCCGCTTCAGAACATTAAAGCCAGCAGTATTTCAAAGCTGGCTGCTGACCTCCCTCATGCCCTTTCCTCTTTTTCCCCTTCATCCAGTTGGTCTTCATTGAGCACAAACCCTGTGCCAGCATCCTGCTGGTTGCTTAGGACACACTGGGGAGAAAAGCAGACAATACTGAGGGGAGAGGCAGTCTGGATCACCACAGACTGAATATTTGTGTTTCCTCTGCAAATCTGTGTGTTGTAACCTAAACCCCCAGATACTAATCCAATCAGGGCCTTTGCTAGGTGATGAGATCATGGGGGTGAATCCTTCATGAATGAGACTAATGCCCCTTACAAAAGAGTTTAGTGCCCTTAAACAAGGGGCCTGGCCTAATTAAAGCTCTGTTGGAGGTAAAACAGAAGCAGAAATCCAATAATAACACCCTTGACAACCAAATATTGGAGAAAAATTCTATTACTCAATCATCAACCTCAATTGTTATTAATGAGACACTGCCTTCATCTCAATCTAAGATTAAGGGTTGGCTTTTATAATCAATATTTTGCAGACCTATTAACATGGAAGCTGATGATATTATCTGTTAAATTTAACAGACACTCTGATCTGCAAAGTCACATCTTTATCTTTGCTCATGTCTCTCCTTGTGAAGAAGCAATGAGGACACATCATCTACCAACCAGGAAGTGGGTCCTCAAGAGACATCAAATACGCAGGCACTTTAGTCTTTGACTTCCACGCTTTACAAATTTCTGTTGTTAATAAGCTACACAGTTTATGGTGTTCTTTTATGTCAGCACCAGGGAGTTAACACATGGAGTTTACAGTTCAGTAGAGGAGAACAGATATCAGTTCTAGGTTCCCACAAATATGACTGTCCTTAGTCCCTCAACAGGGAAGAACATGGTGCAAGAGAGCAAGCAGACAGGGTTCGAAGACACTTGGGGAAGTCACAGAAAGCTTTTTTTGGAAACTTCTGGCTGCGCTTGATAGCAGCAAGGTGGGGAAAGGGCTCTGAATACACAGGGTTGGTTTGGTCAGAAATTTAATACATTCCAACGTAATGGCCACAACTTCAATGTCAAGCAAAGACTAAAATAGACACATATCTATTCACTAAAGTATGTATTAAGGAATGTTATTTTAAAAAATAACTTTTAGTAGAACTTGTGATATTTTTTTTCCATAGTGATAACAACCCATAAAAGTTTCTGATTCAAGTGAAAAAGACATGTTTATAGCCAACTGTGATTAGGAAGTTGTGCCATGTGCATCAGGATATTTTAACAAATGATTTTTATCAGGCAAGCTGATTAAGGAAGCTTGGTACAGGGTTTTATATGACATGTGTCTACCTTTCCTTTTGTAGAAGAATAAATACATGTTCCAGGGTAGACTGGATGTGAGAAATATAGACATACGAGCTGGTGCACAAAGCACATTCAGCCCATCTCTTTTCCAGCAATTTGCAGGCACACTGGATTAGCAGACTGCCTCGCTCTCCAATGGCCAGGGAGAGAAAGGAAGAGGTCCAACTATGGATCTGACCAGGATGCCTGATGGTCAGACATACACAGTGCCACTGGGACTCCCGGCAAACAACTCAACTGTAGCCTTATATGTGTCAATCAGGATTTTGGGACATAAAAAGAGATATGGATAAATTGGAAGCCTGGTTGTGGTGGGGAGAAAGAGTTTGTATACAGAGTGCCTAGAATGATTCACATTTAGTAAATAAACCTGAGTAAGTGATACGATGCAAGTTAACTCTATAGAGTGTTTTCTGGAGGTGAGGTGGATCCTCATGATTTTGGGGACCTGTCATAACTGCTGCTACAGTTTGGATTTGGAACATGCTTCAAAGGCAAAGATGTTAAAGACTTCCTCTCCACAGTGGTGTAATGGGACATGGTAAAACCTGGCAGAGGTGTGGCCCAGCAGGAAGTGTTAGGTCACTAGGGCTTGCTCTCAAATGCGACAGTGGGACTCCTGTTTCTCCCTCTTTTTCTTTTATTCTTGGCTATGAGGTAAACTATTTTCCTACTTGCTGTCACCATGATATGTGGCCTCACCACTGACTCAAGAGCAGTGAGATCACTGAAAGCTCCATAACTGTCAGACAAAATAAACCTTCTATCTCCTTAAGTTTATGACCTCAAGTGTTTGTTATAGTATCAGAAAGCTGACTAATGGAATTCTTGATATTTATGTACAAATATTAAATTTTCCCTTCTCCTTACTAAAATAGTATATTTGTTTTCTGTCTTTGCACTTTCCTTAAAATACAACAATTTAGTAAGTCATAGTAAGTTTAGTAAGGTTAGTAAGTCATCATCCTGATGAAGGTAATACTGGGGACAGATTTCTGGCCCTCGAAACTATCATCTGTGAGACATTACCCTCTGTATTATTCCCAAAGCCACTCAATTTTGACACCCACAGAAAGGTACTGGTTTCAAGTCTAATCTATTTCTCTTTTCCTATTGCTTAAACAGGTAAAGCAGAAGAAAAACTATATTCAAATGAAAAGATAATATACTTTTATAGTTCTTTCTCATGTTCCTATTTTCAAGATGTCTGAAACTATTACAGAATGTATTACATCTATTTGAAGCAGTTGGCATTCCACCAATTTTGATTATGATAAAAATTTGGCATGATCTCAAAATAAGCTTGAAATGTGCAAGAAATAAAAAAAATCACGAGTATGTGTATCTTTAGGAAATGTCATTCCAAATGGAGAAGAGACAATTTGCAGTAGTTCATATGAAATGATTAATCTGTGTGGCTATTATCCACGTGGACAAGTTCTTTAGAATGGATGAAATTTCAGGACAGTGCTTGCTGATGAGGTACTTACTCACTTGAGCTGCATGATTGTAAGAGGATGCCTTCCTCACATGGGTGCTTTTATGGAAAGGACAGAAAAGCTTTGCTCTGAGCATTTTTCAAACACAGCATATTTTTAGAAAAGGGTGGTTTTATCATTGATAAAGATGAACAGCCAGTGCCTCAAAAATGGATCAAAAGGTACCAAACAAACAAGCATATAGATTAACCTCTATATTCTAGAGATATGTAATACTTTTTTCTGAGAATTTTATAATTTTAGGGAGACATAAAACAATGTGCATTTTTTTGATAGCTTCTTTTTGGAATATGTCAAAAAGTATGTGAAATACATGCAAGCATGCTTCAAGTATGCTTAGGTTTTTACACATATTTTGTCATACCATTTGAAAACCTGAAAACGCAACTACTACTGTTTCTTCCTCAATAATCTTTTACTATCAACCTTCAAAATGAATGCTACACTGCAGGTCTGATTGCTTTTACCAGTACTATTTGTTCTCCAGAAATGATGACACCTTCAGGTCTGTGGTTTTCTGTGCTTCTTCTAATATGAAGCCTGCTTTCCAAGGCTAGAAAGGCTGACAAGGGAGTCTTTGCTCAGAAGCTGGGAAAACTTTTGTTAATGTTAAATTAGAACTCGCCACTCCTTGCTCACACCTTCCTGTGCCACCTAGAATAGAAAATGAAGTTCTCTAATGTTGGCCCGTGCTCACCTTACTGCCTTATCTTTCTGTCCCTGACCCTGGCTACTAGACTTTCTTTCTCTAGTGGAATTTGCTAAGCATGTTCCAGTCTCAGTGACCATGAACCTGTCTGGGATTCTCTACCCTAGACAGGCAAGGCACTGTGAGCTCTGATCTCTTCTGCTATTGAGCTCAAAGGTCATCTCCTTATTGCCCACAATATCTGCCAGGATTCTTCAAGAGTCACTAGAATCCTATCACTGTACTTTATTTTATTCAAAGTACTTATCATTTCTGAAGAGATCTTGTTCATTTACTTGATGAATTAACTATCGTTTATTTTCCTCTACCAAAAAATAAGTTCCAGAAGAATAAAGAGATCTTGTTGTTTTTTTTTTTTTTTTTTAATCCCTGTCATCTCCTCAGTGCTTGGCACAAAGTAGGGCAAATGTCCATGAATGTGAGCTGGGCGCCTCGGTGAATGAATGAATGAATAGCAAAATGAAGAAACACAGTAGAATCTGGTCTGTCAGACCCAGCCACTTCCGACTTCTTTCAGAATCACACTCTCTGGAGAAGCCCTCAAGGTAAGGATTTTCTATGAGCTGAAACAAGGGAACACTTGCTTCTTCAGGACATGGAAACATTTAGAAACATTACATTTGCCAGGCAGTAAATGCAATTAAATTTATAGAGCCTTAAAAGGGATGCAATGAACTCATCTATTCAACCGTGTATTCCATAGTTTACTGAGGATGTGCGAAAATTACCTGAGAACAGGTACCTCTTAGCTTGGCTGTGTTTCATTTTACCCTTTTCATGTAACAGTTTGACTGCAGCCTTAAATATCATCTTAATCTCATCCGCTATCTCTTGCCATGGCTTCTCATTTTCAGCGTTTCCAGGAGGCTGTGGCTATGGAAAGGTAAAAGTGAAAAGTTATTTATAAAATTATCAAAGAAAAAACAGTATTTAAGAGCAAGAGAATTCCTCTTACTTGAAGGCCTACTATGTGCTGATAGTATAACAGGTGCTCTACAGTGTCTCATTTCATCTGTCTAATCCTAACCCTAACCCTAACCCTAACCTTCTAAAACATTCTGAAATAAACACCTTCTTTTTAACATTGTAGGTGTTAGCTATTTTATCCCATCGATGGGAAAGAGACTAGTGCAGGAGGTTACAATTTAATTGTTTTTAGTTGCTTCTGCCTCACTGGATTTGATAATCTACTAGGATATAAAATGAGAGGATTGCCTACCAAGAAAGGAACACTTACATAGTCTTGAGGATAATCTTATTCATATATACCACAACAACTTTGCAGAAATAGCATATGGAGCCTGGGGAATAGTTTACATTTCCCTAAAGGATCACAGAAATAAATGAAGGTGGAATAAATAAAGCCAATTAAATGGTAACATATAAGCAAATGCCCCCAAACCACTGTGGAAACAAAAAAACACTTTGCCAAAAAAACCATTTTCCTTTGCTGTGCAAACCAGTATCTTGAAGTTTCACACTGTTTGCTATCTATATTACCCCTAGCATATGTAACTGGGGAATGAGAAATAATATTTGTATAGAGAGTTACTCTGAATAATGCATGTAAGAAGAAGAAAAAAATCAAGAATACCGATGTGGTTTCATACTGCACAGAGAACATGCTTTATGTTTTTTTTTTTTTTAATGGAAGACTTCATTTTTTGAGACATGGGCTCACTGTGTTGCTTTATGTTTACTATTTGAAAGTCAAATATACAAGGTCCTGAATATACGAGGACCTGGTGCTAACTGACTGCTCTCCTCCCCTTGAAGCTGTTGTGGGACTGATTTTATCAAGGATGCGCTCCTTTAGAAGGATAGATATTTATGGCTTAAAGAAAAAATGTCCCTCAACGTTCTATGCAAAAATTCTTCCTCACTTCCTCCTTTATTTTAATTTTAGGGGACACACAGTAGATACACTTTGGAACCAAGGAAAACAACAATAATATTTCCATTATATTTAGCCATGAATCAACCTTACAGCATGATTCAATAGAAGGTACAAGAACATACATTAATTGTTTGACATATTAAAGGAGACATATCAAATTTTAAAAAGAGACCATAAAAATATCTAGATTTTAAAAAGGATTAGTTCTACAAATACCCCTCCAAAACAACTTCCTTCCCCTAAAAGACCACATAGAAAACCTTTCACAAAATAAAAATTTTAACTGTTGAATTTGGAAACTCACTGTATGGACAGAGTACATACACCTAAAAAGTATTGGTGAACCAGAAAAAACATCTGAGGTAATCTTCTGGGAAACAGCTCAGACATAAGGATATGGAATATAGAAGATAATTAAAAAATGTGAAAGACATACTGAAACTGCCCAGCATACACCAAAATAAAGAGCAAAAATGAAAGAAAACAGAAGAGGAGAACTATTTGACAAGATGAGGGTTAAAAGTTTAGGGAACTGATAGGATATGTGAATTCACAAATAAGGCATGACATATGATAATCAGAGTAAATACAGATATTGTTTAGAAAAACGGGCTAAATAATATTTCAGATAAATAAATATTGATACAGTTTATCACTCACAGGCTTTCACCAGTAGAATTCCCAAAAGATATTTTGGGAAAAAAAACCCCAGGAAATGCTCAAAAGAGAGGTGCTAATAAGAGAGGCAAACCAAACACCTGCAATTTTCTTAGCTTTGGACTTACCTTTTACAAACATGTTAAGGTATATAGTGTAATGTTTTGATACATGTACACATTGTGAAATGATTACCACTGTCAAGCTAGCTGACATGTTCACCACCTCATATAGTTACTCTTTTGTGATGAGAACACTTGAGATCTACTTAGTCATCTCATAACCAAAAGTTTGTGCCTTTTGACCAATATCTCTCCATTTCCCCACACTTCAGCCTCTTTTAAACATTTTTTTACCCTGTTACCCTGAGTTTAACTGCCCCAGAGTCTACATATAATTGAGACCATAGAGTGTCTGTCATTCTGTGGTTGGCTTATTTCACTTAGCAAAATGTTTTCTGGGTTAATCCATACTGTTGCTAATGTTAGGATTTTCTTTTTAAAGTGTAAATAATATTTGCTTGCATGCACGTGTGTGTGTGTGTGTGTGTGTGTGTGTGTGTGTGTGTGTACATCACCGTGAGTACTGCTACAGTGAACATGGGAGTGCAGATGTCTGTTCGAAACGGTGATCTTCCTTTGGATGTATATCCACACTTGGGATTGCTGTGTCAGAAGGTAGCTCTGTCACCAAACAGGCTCTTAAACCCTGAAAATAACTGCTTTTTCCAAATCTGTGCTCTGTTTCAGACCAGTTACCCACCTAGCCAGTGACATAAACACCCAAGACTTCACCGGATGCCATAAAACCACGCAGTATAGACCTGGACAAAGCTATGTCAATCATAAGAGACATCCTGTTGGGCTGCTGTTTACACATCATAGTCTCCTAAAACTCCCACTGGCCAGGGCCATCTTGGTCTGGTCCATTTCTGACCCAAACTGAAACTGGCCCGTGTAAGCATTAAAAGAGAGCAGTTCCACATGTCCTGGATGGATCTCATTTCTCCCCAGAAAAAATCATGATGAGTTCTCCTGCTCATTAACAAAAATCCTTTCTTTTCTCCCCTTTCTCTTAAAAGGACCCAATCCTTTGTTCAGGTAGTATGTTTTTTTGTGAGAGTTACTCCTCCCAGCTTTTCCTACCGTGGCCAAAAAAACACTTTCCTTTGCTGTATAATCAGCTCTGTTTTGTTACTGGTTTCACAATTCTGAGAGGAAGAAAGCATGTTGTTCGTGTCAGAAACGGGTACAGTTCAATTTTGTGTGTGAGTGAGGGAGTGTGTGTGAATGTGTGTGCACATGTGAGGTGCTGGGGATTGAAGCAGAGAACGCTGCCACTCAGCCATATCTCTATCCCATTTCACTTTTCTTTTTTTGAAGAACTGCTCTACTGTCGGCTAAGTCGCTGCACAAATTTCCAGTCCCACCTCCTCACCAGCACTTCCCTTCTGACTTTCAGGGTGGTTTTGATTTGCATTTCCCCAATGATTGGCATGAATTCAGTTGTTAAAAGAAATTTTAGGGGCTACAGCAGAATAGACTTTCCATCTACTGTGTCTTTTCAGAAAGAAACTTACCCCTGGACAACATCGACAGTTTAGAGAGATGGAGAGAAGGGGACTTACTGCATTTTTAAAAAATTTTAAAGAGAATTTAAAAAAAGAACAATAGCAAAATGCCAACAACACAGACAAAAACAAACAAAGCAAAAACAGTATGAATGATACAGGGTTTCAGAACAAAACGATAGGTATTGACAATGGTTGTTATATTACATATTTTTATCTTCATCGAAGCTGGTCAGATTACCAGATGTAAGCATACTTACTGCATTTTTATTGCTTCTCAGCATTTCCGATTTGGGTCTGAGGTAATAAGCTGCTGGCACAGAGTTCTCATCCCGACAGTACCACTCTTCCAGTAATTTGGTCTCCAACTTCGCCTCGATGGCAGCATCCAAAATCATCTCAAACTCCGAGGCTTCGACTTCTCCAGGAATTCGGATGTTCCCATATTTTTCACCTAATAGTCCCTGTGTATTAACAAGAAAGTTCAGTTTAGTGTATCACCAAGAAAGTTTCAGTGTTCACGGTATGTGGTCACTCAATAAATATTGATAGCAGGATCGTTGCTGTACCGGATTTCTCTTTTAATCACAGTAGATACTTGATTTCCTGAGTAAAATGAGGTCCGTTATAATTATAACAAATTATTCAATATATTGAGAAACTTGTATATCTCACCATAAAATGGAAAATACAGAATTTTTGTAACAATTTTACCTTCTTAAATCTTGCAAGATACAGCAAAAGCTGGTCTATGCTGAGATTTGTTTGTGACAGATAAAAATAATATGCTGCATCTTACAAAATATTAAATACATAAATTTAAAAAATTGCTCTTCCAAGAGTTGATTATGGATCTGGGTGAGGTGGGTCATGCCTATAGCCCCAACAGTCAGAAGGCTGAGGCAGGAGGAACGAGAATTCAAGGCTAGCCTGGGCTATATAGTAAGATCTTGTCTCAAAAAGGGGGACAGGGAAGGGGATGGGAGGAAGAATAGTATTTTAAGTTCCAGATTCGTACAGGTACAAGGGCAGAAGTGTGATATCATTGAGTATGTGATACTACTAACCTTAATGACCACCTAAAACAAGAATGTAAACAAGACAGCTTCTACTAAATTGGCAGCCCCACAAACAAACAAATACTAAAAAACACATGCTCAGAGCTACATGAAAAGTATGAAAAGATAACCATACACTGTTTGTCGGCCTGTGAAATGATCCAGCATTTCTCTGTATAGGGTCTTCTAGCAACAGCCTAAGAGCTTTACAAATCTATATACATTTTGACTTGACTTTTTTTCTTCTGGAAATTTGTCTTTAGGAAATAATTAAGAATGTAAATATAGACAGCGGAATATTTTTGCTAATTCTGTTTAAGCATGAAAAAAATTGGTATGACAATTTAAATATCCAGCAAAAAAGGAACATTTGAGTAATTACGATCCATCAATTTAAAGTATGTACCAAATTATGTTGCATAGCTATACTGACTTGGAAAGATGTTTGTAAAGTATTATTAAGTGAAAGAGTAAGTTACATAGCAGTCTGTATGATCCAATGATTTATATATATGAGGGAAGTGATATAATATGTATACATGTAGACACAAAAATACATATACATGTAACATAAACAGCAGAGACCATCAGGCTTGTGTAAAGGCAAAATGGCATGGAATTCATTGTGCTTGGGTTCAAGCAGAGAGTATGTAAGACCTTCTGACCTGAACAAAGAGAAGTGTGTCCCTTTTATAGGGATGGAGGGAAGGCAGGGGACCTTAGGTGGGAAGATCCCAATGAACACCTGTGGTTAAAGTTTTCTGGCAATCTTGCACTCAGTGGGCAGAGTCCTTGGAAGTGTCCATTGTAAATTTTTGGGTGTCTCCAGATGTCTCCAGGACCTGCAAACTTCCTTGTCCTATCTTACTTCCTTTCCTGTGTTTGCCAATGGCAGCCTCAGTGCTGAGCTGAGTTCCCTACAGCGAGCAGTGCTGCTGCTGACAAGCAGGCTGTGGGCTGGGAAAGTCAGGCCAACTTGGAGACTTACAATACATATGACATACATATATATACATATATATATAAGCTAACATAATTATACTTTTAATTGCTTTTAGTCCATTGATAAGATCGATTTGTGCTTATATTGGTTGATTACTTTTGCGTGCCTACGTCTTGTAATCTGAGCAACTACTTTGAAGACAACAATATGCAGTATGTTAACCATTGTCAATTTCTAATTATCCTGTTTTGAAGCTCTGCATCACTGTTGCTTCTTCCAGTAGTTCTCAGATGTGTTCTGGGATCAGCAGCAACAACCATGTTTTGGACTGGTTAGACATGCAAATCTTCAGGTTCTATCCTGGAGCTCCTAAATCTTTAGGTTCCATCCTGGAGCTTCTGTCTTACATTATAGAGGTGAAACTATCATTATAGAGGTGAATGGTCTGTTTTAGCAAGTATAAGAAGCTTTCCGTTTAATCTGTAGGCATCTTCTTTCTTTCTTCCTATTGATTTGTACCTTTAATGTAAATACAAAGATCTGTGTAGCCTCTGGCATATGAATCATTGTTCTGGTGTTCCTAAGGGGCAATTCTTACTACTTCTATTGCCTATCATTGCCACACTTATAGTGTTCTTTTTATCTGATGGAGACAAATCAGAGCATAAGATCTCTGTCCAAATAAAATTAATGACCTAAATTCTACTATAAGATGGTAAGTCCCATGAGGGTAGAGGCCAGAGATGTTTACTCCTAGCATACAGACAGTATTTTTTCTAAAAAACCTATTTGTTGAGTTAGTGAATGAACCAAGACAGACAGAGAAATCATTAAAGGTTGCTCTATTCTTATCTGAAGCTTCTTCTTATATTCAAACACAATAGCTCAGTTCTCACGTGGTACAGTTGCCCTGTGGGAATGGACTGGTTTGTCAGCAACAAGCGCTTTGGTCCATATTCTTGAAGCAGGAACTGTGTAACAAATATGTGGTGGGCCTTTGCCTTCTCCAGCTCTTCACACGTAATGCATTTTACCTGACCTACAAACAGTGACTGTGGCTAATTGAATTCACCATTCCAAGCTCAGGTTAGCTCAGTATCAGTCTCAAGAACCAGGCAGTCAGTAGATAAATATGGTCTGTTCTCTTTGGCCACAAAAATCCTTTTGGAAGGGACCTGCATGGACGGCCTTCCTTTTATTGGTATTCATTATTTCAGCATACAATGCAAAGGTTTTATGGAGGGTTATCTTCTGAGATAAGAGTATTATCACACCAACTACTGTAGTAGTCTGAATGACAATTAAAAACACTTCAATGTACATCAACTTTGGGCCCTTCCTGAGGACAGGCTATATGTAACCAAAATTATGTGTTTCAACTTGTTTTGCAAGTTTTAATGGTTCCTCTGCTAAACAGGCAGGTGTGATCTTCCATTTTACCACAGATTCGAAGAGATGATCTTTTATAAGGTAACTTACCTAATGATTATCCTATTACTTTAGGCTAATTCTGGATAAGAATTGTCAGCCTGTGAGGACTGCGTGCATGAGTAGTGAGGTTTTAATTTTGGGATGAGTCACTAAGCAATCTCACATAGACAAAGTGGGGAGTAAAAGCATGTCTAACCAGCAGTCACCAGAGAATTCAAGCAGCCATAGAGGTGGAGTTTGGTCCTGGGTAAAAACCAGGTAGCTAAGAAGATCATTAAATATGGGATTTAGAAGTCGACAACTCTCCACTTCCCTAGCAGCCAGTGCAGTCCAGGAATTTCATGGAGCCGGCTACCATGGCACAAGTTAAGACCAGCTGGATTTTGGGCATGCAGTGGGGAAGAACACAAAGGTGACTAGTGTGACCAGATCATGTCTCAGGGCAGAACTGCCATCATTGTGCTAGTCAGGTACTAACTGTTGGTTGTTTTCTTTCAGCTCTAAACAAAACTTGTCCCTGAGACGTGGGTGGGGTCAAATTTATGAATCCGTTTCTAAAATGTGCTCTTTGGACTGTCTGTATTTCCATCAGCCAGGATGCTTGTTAAAATGTAGGTTCCTAAGTCCCTTTTCAGATCTAAAGAACAATGCAGGCAGGGAAGCCCAGGCCCTTACATCGTAAAATGAAGTTCCAGATGAATCTAGAATTTGATAACCACTAGTAAAGGCAGTGAATGATGCCCATAGCCTCATGAATAACGGCTGGCAAGCACCGAGGAGGCGGAGCTGGGAATGTAGCAGATCATTACAAAAATCGAAAGCTATTTAAAAATAATTATTTCTTTGAGTTGAACACTTGGCACCAAATACTATAATTATTTGATCAATACAGTAAGGCCAAATGTGCCTTGAAGATTACTAAAGAGAAAAACATATCCTCACGCAATTCAAATAACAAATACATGTCGAG